AACATCGTTTATCGATTTTGTCTTCGTTTCGAATCGAAACGAATTTAATACCGGCAACGGTGAAAAATTTAAATTCAAACGCAAGGTTTGTTCGTCGATTGTTCAACTTTTCTCCGAGCAAGTAATAGCAATTTTTAATCGCTGTTTTATTTGTCTGCGATTTGGTTTGATCGATGTTTGCTCGATATATAAGTGGCACGTTATTAGCGGCGATTCGGTGTTTGGTTATTTCGAGGATTCGTTTCGAACACGCCTCTACCGAATGTATTAATGGCCAGCCCGCAACGCTCGATCATCCTCGCGGATCCTCTTCAAGCCGACGAGACAGTATATACGTACATACTGCCCATTCAAGCAAAAGTCAAGCTCTTAGATCTTTCCCTCTCGTGCGGCGGATGAAGTGGACGTTGGTCTAGAAGAGGCGGTTGCCCAATGCACTCAGCCAATTATAATTAATTAAACGAGCTCCTCGACGTTTTCCACGGCGATTTTCCGGCCAGGAAATTCTTGGGCACAATGGCTACAAACTGAAGTGAAGAGTCCATTGCAACGGTGACCGAAGTAATATTTACATTGCAGCGAATCATTTTTATTACGGTGATTCAATGATCGCTGTTGCAGATCATCGATTAACTCGTTATAGGGATTCCCCCGTATCTCGATTGAATAAAATTGATTTATTTTATACGTCTTCCTAAAGCTTAGAGTTTCTTAATGATGAACATGATATTTTAAAGCCTGATCTACCGTTAGTCGATTTCTTTGAATTCAAACGATAGCTATACCTTTATAGAGTAATAATTTGTTTGTATTTTTTATTTCCAATGATTGGATGGAACGTAATCATCATGGCCAATTATGATGAAATTATTAATACAGCATCGAAGTATTATTAATTAGAGCAAATTGCAGAAAATGGATCATGTAATCTCTTCCTGAGTACGTTAATTTGTGGAATAACATTTTAGTTTAATATATCGCGTACCTTTCTTCCAGAAAAAACTCCCAAAAGTTGCTCATTTTTTCGGCTCAATGCATAAGGAAACTCCCGATGAATATCTTATCTAGGGAATATTTTTTGGCCGTTAATGAAATTTATTTGAATATCATGTGATTTTTAAAATATGAAATTGAGACTTGAATAAGTGGGTTGTAATTTTTTTTACCTTTTCTGTAATATATTACGAATGAAAAAATATATTCGAGAATAATTTTCTTGGTCTTTTTAGTCTGGAATATTCATACAATTTGGAATTCTAGCAGGGCAATTGTATACCTATTGTTTGCTCGGTACAAAAAAAAATTCAATTAATTTATACAGTATTTGCTGTATATGTATAACCTGTATATGCTGTATATAATTCCTCTACTAAAATTATCCTTTGTATTTACACGAGCAAAAGGAAAATAAAAACTACTAAAAATTAATTCTATCTTACATTATTATGATTATTTGCAAAAACAAATGGTGTGAAATTCATTAGTACCGTTTATTGTTTTACACTGTTTACATGTTGTACAAGTCTATCGATATTATTAGAGGCAACTTTTATCATACCAATTTTCATTATCCAAATTATCAACCATCCGAGCGCTTCATTACTCAAACGTTCCATTATCCCAACAGAATATGTTCTAAATACATAATAAGGTATACTTTCTGTAATTAAAACACTGCCCTATAACGATAAAAATTAATACATGAAAGTATTAAACATATCTCTAGAAATGATTGAAACATAATAAGAGTAAAAACTTATGTTTATTGTCGTGCCCTGTTAACAGGTTAACAAAGATATTTTTTAATATAATATACATATAAAGTAAACATTAATCTTGAAGAAACAATAACTTCGTATTTAATAATGAATACAGAACGTATTAAGGAAAAAGATTATACGGAATTAGGAAAGAAACGTCTATGACAAGTACACAAGCGCGTATAAATGTAAAGAAGAGGATAGAGATGTTTTTTTCCTATTTTCGACGATAAACACAATTTTCGCGCGTGGACTGGATTAAAGAAACAAGCAAGCTTCTCCGGAGTCGGCGATAGAGCTTGGCAGAGCATCGTGGAAGAGGTCGTATTCTACGTGCGGTCGTCGAGGTCGCCGTGGGTTGAGAGCACCGGCGTGGTTAGCCGCGGCGACCGCAGCGACTGGTTCTGCCGCCTGCCGGCGTCTCCCTCATCCTCGCTTTTCACGGTGTACGCGCCTCTCTCTCGTTCCTTGTGCATTTTATCTCCGTCCTGCTTCGCCCTTTCTCCCTCGATCTCTCCTCTTTACTCTCCGTAGCTCAGCGTCCATGGTCGTTCGGTGAGCACCGAGCCGCACCGAGGACACGTATCCACCGAGCGAACACGGGCGAACACGCAAACCGGCTGCGGCAGGCGGCAGGCAAGGCGGCTCCGCATAAACCGCAGCCGACCAAGCGCGACCGACAGCTTCGCCAACACTCCACGGCAGTGCCTTATATTCCTTCTTCGCCCCGTGGAACAAGATAAAGAGCGGACGAACCAGACGGAACGAGTTAGAATGGGACGGAAGAAGGAAGGAAAACGATGAAACGAGTGAGGAGGTCGGGTCGAAGCACGAACGGGGTAAGAGGGGCTGGTGCGTCTCTGTGCATCGTACAAAAAGTTCATGGTTGGCGATAAACAGAACTACCATCGCATCGTCACTACCGCGCGTCACGTATTTATTTCATTAGGAGGGTCCTGCACCGCCGCCTCCGTTGTGCGAGCGAAAGCTGCCGAGGCAAAAGGAGGGGAGAAATTGTACGGAGTGCTTTTCTGTACATATGTATGTATATATCCCATCCCGCGTTCCGCGAAGCATGACAATGGGGTTTTCTAATCCTCCTTTGGATTAAGGGTCGAAAGCAGGGCTCGGTGCACGGTGGCGGCAGGGCGAGAGAGCTCCAGGTAATGGGATCGACGTTTCGTTATGTTACTTTTCCATTCTCATCCTCGGCCTCTATCCTCACCATCCCTCCCTCTTGGATGCCCCACACAACCACGACTGCGCCAGCCTTTGGTGTCTCGGTTCGTAGGATCCATCCCGCAGAGCCCTCCTCCTTCCTACCCGGTCCGTGTTTTTCCTCATGTAGCCCCCTATTTTTCATGTTTCGCTGCGGCTTCGCGTAGCACCTTCATTCCGTATAGGAACATCCGTGGGGCTCGAACGACGATCCGCGCGGACTCGACGTTCGTGCGTCAGCTCAAAAAGTATCGCTCTCATTGGCTGAGGTCGTGCTTTCATTCGACTCTTTGCGGCGGTTGGAGTCGGTGGTGGGGCTACGCGCTCACCGATTGGCGAAGTCGTGACTAGGAACATTTCGGTTGGTCGAGGCGGCAGCGACAATCCGCGCGGAGCAGTTCCTTTACGAAGCGAGCGGACGATAGCGGCAATCAAGTAGGAAACTGCTTGGGACTGTGTGCTGCGCGATATTCACATAGGGGCACCCCCTTGCCACACGCATAGGATCGTACTCGCTACACACGGATACTCGGACACAATCGCGCTGGTTGCGCGTGTACGTATTCCATCCACAACTCGCGTTCTCTCTCGCTCTCGCTTTATACAGGCACGTTGTAGGGGTTGGGAAAACGGGTGGAGGCGCCATATTTGTGGTGGTATGGGAAGTGAGGGAAATCACGAGTGGCGAGAGAGGCAGCCAGTCGTCGGGCGTTTGGGAGGGAACGAGAAAAGAGAAGAGAAGAGAAGAGAAGAGAGAGAGAGAGAGAGAGAGAGAGAGAGAGAGAGAGAGAGAGAGAGAGAGAGAGAGAGAGAGAGAGAGAGAGAGAGAGAGAGAGAGAGAGAGTTTATGCGGACATCCGTGTCAGCCCGGTGACGGCCATTTTGCGAAAAACTTTCGATTTGTTTGCACACGTTGAGCGAACCGGGAGAAGCAACTAATACCTACGCGTATGCATGGCACGCCGTGTTGTCCTCTCGTTTATTCGACCGTATCTGCGGGACCGAAAAGTTTCGGGACTCGGAGTCTTCGTGCTCCAACTTGCAAAAATCACCGGACGTATACACTCGTGGAATACACGATTCGCGTTACGATATCGCCCAGGGGTAACGATGTATCTCTCTCAATCGTATCTGCTAAAGCGAAATACCAACGGAGAGATAATGGGGCAGCACGAAAAAAATATTCCAAGAACCGTTCCCTTAGTCACTGGGTTGTTTCTCGAGATTGATACTTTGAATCGTCTAGATTCCAAAGGTAGTTCAATGTAGTCAAGGAACATTATTTGCACACACTCATTAACTGTGGTATCAGCGATAATAGCTTTGAAATAATGGAAAAAACGGACGCAATCAACGTTGATAAATGAGCCTGTTGAGTCATCTGCCGTTAATACAGAAATAATGTTCACCGTCAGAAAATTTTGCAACGTCAATACAGAGTAAAGAAAAAATTGTCAATAAAATAATGTATACGGACGTCGGGGGGAAGCGAGGGACGAGCGAGAGCGGAATAGTAAACATACCGTCCAGGTCTCGTATATAATAGAATCGATGTATCGTTTGATTGCGCCATGCTTAACGCGAATATAACCGTTCATTTCAAACCCGATTAATTACGTTCAACTAAAACGGCCCTGAAGGCATGCTCCGGTCACTCGGCGTGTCAACGGCGTGCCGAAATCACGATGGACGTATCCAAGCCTCATCGCTAGTCGATAAAGCAGATCAAGTATACGATAGGACGACAGGTGCTATGAAATAGAGAGTGCCAGAAAGCAAAAAGCGAGAAAAAACAAGGAGGGAGGAAGAGGAAGGACGTACCGACGTTTTAACGAGCCGTGATTTTCGTGCTCGCCTTTTCGAGACCCTTACGTAACGCGACTTAATTGTGAAGGAGCTATCGCGCCGGTTAATACGAGCGTCGGGAACGAGGAGAGACATTCGAGGGGGTGCTTGGCGGGTTTAACTGTGGAGTAACGGCCTGTTAGAGTGGGGGAATAGAAAGATTACTTTGGAGGGGATACCATCCCCACCACTTACTCGTCCATCAGTCGCTCCGAGGCCGTTCGAGAGAGAGGATTGTTCTTGCCGTTCGTCCGCGTGCTTAACGTTTCGAGCTCGCTTTCGCGTTTACGTTCGCCGGTTTCTTTGGATCGGTGCTCGCGCGTTTCGATTCTTGAATGCGCGTCCTTTGATGCCAGAGTAGCTCTCGCGTACCAACGGTAAAGACGTGTGCGGTGCTAGTGTTGGTAAACTTAACCTCAAAGTGGCGGCGGGCCACCGTTTCGGTAGTAAACAACTAAGTGCAGTGTCTCTGTGTAATGGTGTGTCCACGTTGAGGAAGAAGGAGGAGAGTTCGTTTCTTTGGTTTAACGCGAAGAAAACGAGTCTTCGTGTCGAATTTTTAACGCGGTGGTTATCGCTCTGTTTTACCGACCGTAAAAAGGGCACGCCACACTCTTGGTGCCCAACGGGAATTCTTCGTGGCTAGCGTCGGTGTCATATATAACCTCGATGAACGTAGCCAGCGATAGAAATAAGTGGTGATACAAGTTTTATCGATCGAGACGGTGATATTATTTTCGATGAGAATGCGGTAGTGGCGGATGGCAAACATACCGATGGATCATCGTCGTGCATCCGAGGCGGGGACCTTCTCGATCGAATCGCGTCGACAGAATCGCAGACAGAGCCGTCGGAAGGGTCGGTCGTTCTCGTAGCCCACGCGGGCGATTTGAATCTGTGTTTTGTTTATCGTTGTGTTGTTATTTGTTGTCGTTGGTGTGCCGCGTGACATGAAGTGTATCGTTCGCGTGATTTGAGTACGCATACGACAGTGTTTCTATTTTTTATTAGTTCGAAAACAGAGGAGTCATGTATCCCAGCGCCGGAATCAATGCCGCTGCTGTGGCTGCCGCCGCTGCCAGACATCCGGTGAGTAAACCTATTCGTCACAAGTTTTTCTCTACTTTCTCTACCTGCAGTTTTTTTATACTTTTGTCCACTGTACGCTGCAAACTAGATTTATTGGTTTCGTTATTGTCGATGCGCTCTTGAAAATGTTGAATCAGCGGTGGTCGATGCTACAGAAATTGTAACTGTTGCGTTTATATATTTCGGGGCAACGTTTTATCGTTCAACGTGCAATTCTCGATGTATTACGTCTTTGTTACGCGGTTTGAGCGATTTGTACCTCGTAAGGCGATCTCACCCGGAGCTAGAGTTGGCTCGAGTTTCAACGTGTACGGACTCTCTCACATATGCTCGCAATTCTGATCACGTTCAATGGCGTAGAAGCCAGTGTGTAACACCTTTCGATCGTCTATCGGATTACTTCTCGTAGAATTTCTCGATACGCACGACCCGCGTGAAACAAGATCGCGAGTGTTTTACCCTTGTCGATGGAACGCACGTCAAAACATTCGATCAAAATAGCGACTCGGAGTACACAGACGGTTACCGAATGTGATAATAATACGGACGGCGGTTTCTTCGTGCCCTCCTCGGTTTGCTGTTAATGCGGTCACGTGCGTCGCGGTACACACATTTATCATGGTTCGCGCGTAGGTTACATGCACGGTCTGTGTATACGTGTCGGATACACGTGCCTCTGGCACCGTGCGCGCATACGTGTACCTCGACTCGTTTCGAGATTTCGAGATATCGAGGCGCGCCAAATCGTCGCGTCGCGCTCGCTAACCCGTCACGAATTCGAGGTTAGTTCTGGACCGTGCAAAAGGCACTTCGTCTCGGTCGCGGCGAACCTATTGATCCGTGAATCGTAGAAGATGAGCCGTGAATACCTTCATTTTTTGCTGTTGTATGTCCTCCGCTTCGGGCCACGGATTTCATATTTGGTCTTTAACGGCCGCCACGACCTTAAGTCGTCTCGATCGTTGTGTAACCATGGAATGATTTTCAGATCAAAGTTGAACAAATTTACTTAACACTCAAATATTTACAGAAATTCAATTAATACAAATAAAATTAGTTACGTGTTGTAGTTCGATTAAGATATAAATTTTGTAAAGTGAAAATAATCCTAAATTATTTATGTACAGGGTGAGATATCTAATCTAACACGCTCATCTTGGATACTCTGTAGATTGTACGTTATGTACATGAAAAATTGTTAATAAATTCTAGGTAGCCACCTGCAGTCCTAATATTACAATGGGGGAGTTGTAGTGGTTGAACAGGTGCAAAGGAAGGAAGAACTTATTCTTTTTTGACGCCACGAACCGATTGTGGGCCTTCTTTGTTGGCTTATTAGTTAAATTATAAGAATAAATTGCACTTACGGATTGATACCAATTAAATGGTTAAAGGAAACAATCAGTAAACAAACGAGAGCAAACAGCGAGCCTGTTATCTTCGATTACTGTTTGGAGCATAGTTTTACAGCACGTTCCAAGTATGTATGTTGAATCCCGCTAGGTTCGATGAACAGGGAACACCAGTGTATTCACCGCGTCAAATGCATAGAACATATTTATTCTAATGCGGGGCGCACGGGTAATGCGTTGAAGCGCGTATTAATACCGTGCGCCGTGTTTTCGTGTTTAAGACGACGTTGAATGGTGAAGGCAGCGTTCATGGGAAGAATTACATTATTCCCGTTGCCATTATATCCATCTCGTCCCGATAATAATAATAATTAGATATGAAAGCAAAAAAGCACCCATTACGCTCTGTTATAACGGTGTGTTGTCGGGTGAAAGGGACCCTCGGATAGAATAATCAAAGCTTCATCTGGCCCATCCCTAATAACAGGCGTTACACCGTATCCGGCCCGGCGATATTGTAGCACGTGGTGAGCAGCGGGGAGAAAGGAGAGCGAGAAACAGGGCGAACAGAAACGAGATGGAGGAACACACAAAAAAAAAACTCACTGGCGAAAGAGTCGAGGCTCTGTATCCCCCTCGAAAGGCGGTGACAATGTTGTGGAAAAGGGTGGCTCCGTCGAGTGCCGCGAAGAGTGACGGGGGACAGATGAGGATGGAAAGCTGTTCCAACGAAGTCGCTGCCTCGCTTACTCGACGGTCCATCACCGCTGGCAAAACACGCGTATATCGTCTAGGTACCCAGACAAAATTCTTGCCCATTTTTGTTCTTTACGATCCCAAGGATTTTCGTGATTGAAAACTAACGAGAACTGCAAGATACACAGTTACTCACAAGATTGAGCGTACACCTATGTAGTTAATAAAAACTGGTGAGAAAATGAACATAAACGGACATATTTAAAAGTAAAAATATAATATTTATTTTATTCATATATTTTGACGGACAATTAGTGGAAAAAGTGTTAAATAAAATTAATTATTCATTTCTATTTAGCAAAAGCAACAAAACTGTTCTTGTTTTAGTGTCACATAATTGAGCATACAGCAGATCAAATTAAACAAAAATAACTAACAGATTTCATTTTAATATTTTGTTGCAAATCCTTTTGCATCTATAACTGTTCTCAAACGTTTTGGCATAGACTCGACTAACGTTTCTGTAGTCGAACACGGAATACTATTCCATATTTCTACAATTTTGCGTTTAACATCTGTTTTATTACTATAACTACATTTATTTAATTGTAATTTTAATTCTCGTCACAAATTCTCAATGGGATTAATCCTCTTTAACAATATTCGATGTATGTTTAGGATTATTGTCCTGTTGGAAATAATATATGGCTGGGATGTTTAATTTTAGAGCTGACGATTTCAAATTTTTTTTCTAAATATCAAGATATTGTAGTTTGTCCATAGTTGTTTCAATAAATTCGCTATTACCGACTCCACTTGCTGCCATACATCCCCACAGCATTATTGAACCTCCGCCGTGTTTTACAGTAGGAACCGTATTCTTTTGATTGAACTCGGAATTCGATTGTCTCCATACTATTATTTTTCCATCCGAATTAAATAAATTAATTTTAACTTCGTCGGAAAATATTACGTTCTTTCAAAAATTTATATCACAACTTTGCACACATATTTTTTTGCAAATTCCAAACGCTTGATTCTATTCACCTTAGAAATATAAGGCTTCTTCCTTGCTACCCCACCGTGATAGTCTTTATCGCATAGCACCCTACGAACAGTTTCTGTCGATATCGATTTTCTAATCCTCGATGAAACATCTGTTGTTAATTTTGGTACACTACTTTTTGAATTAATTTTAATTTGTCGTATTATGTACCGTTCGTCAGTTCCAGTCAGAATTTTTTTCCTTCAGCGTCCTGGCTGATTATGCAGTGTACCATTGTATTTGTAATTGTTAATAATTTTTTGTACAGTAGAGTGGGCTCTACCTATTGTTTTTCCAATTTGCCTTAGAGATTTACCTTGACAATACAATTTGACAACTAATTTTCGCACAGAAATATCAGTTTCTGATCTTTGTGAAGCCATAGTGCAAATTTTCGCTAATAAACAATGACAAATGAAAATCAAACGTATCATAGCAACGGAACTATGTTATTAGATACAATCGAATGAATTGTAAACCATGAGAAGTTTTACAAAAGTTAGTTTTCTAGTTACTAATAAACTGTACGCTCAATTTTGTGACGATAAAATAAGCATACTTTTACAGTTTTTGTTAAACATAGATGAACAATCAATATTGTTTAAAAATTTCTTCACGCATTATCTGCTGAAATGTACAAGTAAAATGTATAATGCGTTTTTACTTTTAAATATGTCTGTTTATGTTCATTTTCCCACAAGTTTTTATTAACTACATAGGTGTACGCTCAATTTTGTGAGTAACTGTACCTTCTGGAGTAATTGAATTATCACGGTTTTAGCAGTAACCGTTTTTATGAACAATATCGGCTATGGATAGTCATTGTTTCTTTTTCTTTTCTAGAATTTCTGTAACATTTGGACTCGGTGGAATAACGTGCTCCAAATGGTGTACCAAATTTGTCCGTTTTGACGCGAAATACATTTAATTACAATTATTCGCGGATTTATAATCAGGCCATGCTGTATCGATGTATACTCCGAAATTTTGCAATAATTGCAACGAGGAGAATGTATTTTCGTCATAAGATAGTAGTTTTGGAACGACGAATTCATAATCGGGCCATCATTGTTTTTCTGGTTGATTCATGTCGCAGCGGGGCATCGGTTGACGAAAATCTAGTATTATACTGTGAATTTTTTTTTTTCTTTCGACAGTGATCCATATCTTGCCCCATTTTTTTCAGTTCTGTTATATCTGGGTTACGAGGTCTTGGAATAGTACTGGTTTTCCTTAATTTGGAGTAAGCGTTGCCCTCTGGCTACCTCGAAGTTCCATATGCAGGGTGTTTGGCCGCCCCTGGAAAAATTTTTAATGGGTGATTCTATAGGCCAAAATAACACGAAAATCGAGAATATCAATTTGTTGATTGAGTCTTCGTTAAAAAGTTATTAAAAGATTAAATTAAAAAATTTCAAACCGTTCACGGAAAAATTATTTTTGGTTGCGGGAGGTCAATTACAATCAGTTTTGGTGAATATGCACACCCCCGAAATCCTACGTACTTTCGAGAAAAAAATTCTTTATTGAAAATATACTGTGTGGCCGGAAATGTTTCTATGACTGTTTAACGAAGCCTCAATCAACAAATTAGTATCCTTGATTTTCGTCTTATTTTGGCCACTAGAATCTCCCATTAAAATTTTTTCCAGGGGTGGCCGAACACCCTGTATAAATTTGTGAAAAATAATTCAGAATTTCACATATTCCAACAGCCTATGGGTATTGAAAAATCGTTACTGCTCGAGTAGGTATAAGGAAGAAAAATAATTGCAGGTAGGTAGACAACTGTGGTATATCATTTGGAGCTGCGGCGGACTCACGCTTATGAATTTTGCATGTTAAACTTCGAGAGCTTTGGGGTACGTCATCCCTCGAACCGATTAATTCAAATTTTACAGGGATTA